CAAATAATTTTACGGAGTTTAAAATTCACGATTTCATGAGCTATAATCCACGGTCTTGTCGATTTTCATTGATTTCAACTCACTGACAAATAATTTTGTAAAGTTTAAAATTTACGATTTCCTGAGCTATAACCAATGATGTTGGTCGATTTACATTTGTTTCCATCCAGTGGAAAATGATTAAGCGGAGTTCAAAATTCATCATTTTCATGGGCTGTAACCCCATGATTTTGTTCAGTATTGTTCATTTCAACTTAATGACCAATAATTTTGTGGAGTGTAAATTCACAATTTTCTGAGCTATAACCTATAAAAATTAATAATTTTAGCGTACACTAGTTGTTTGTTCATTCGATGGAAGTAGATGAACATGGACAAAATTGTGAGTTACACCCTTGAAAAGCGTGAATTTTATGGAAAGAAAACTTATTCGCGATATGATGGAAACGACATAAAATGGACAAATTTTGGGTTGTAACCTATGAGAATTGTAAATTTTAAAGTATGCTTATTAATTTCCGTGGAGAAGAAATATATAGAAATGGCTAAAAATTGCGGGTTTAAAGCCATGAAAATTATGAATTTTGAGGATAGGAAAATTTATTTGTCATTGGCTTGAAACAAAATGGAAATGAACAAAAATCGTTGTCGGCCCATAAAAATTTAGAAATTTGAAGTAAGCCGATCAGCTAGTTATGTATTGTTAGATGAAAACAAGTGAAAATGGACAAAATTATAGGTTATGTTCTAGCAAAATCGTGAGTTTGGAATAAGAAAACATAACTGCCACGAAGTCAAAACGGCTAAAAATTGACAAAATCGCAAGTTTTGAGGAAAAAACTTAATAGCACATGATAATTGCTAATTTTGAAGTACGTCAATTTATTGTAGTCGAAACGAATGAAAATAGACAAAAATCATGGGTTATATATAACTCATAAAGATTAAAAAATTTTAAATATGTAAATTATCTGCTGTTAGGCGGACATAGATGAAAAGACGTAATTGTGGATTATAGCCCATGAAAATAATGAATTGTACGTAATAAAAACTTAATTGCCTTCGGTTGAAATGACTACGAATGGACAAAATTCATGGGTTATAGCCCATAAAAATTGTGAATTTTGAAGTAGGGTAATTTATTGTCATTGGGTCGAAACGATTCAAAATGGACTACGATCGTGGATTAATTATGAAGCATGCCAATTATTTGTCATACTGTTAGAATGGACAAACATGGGCAAATTTGTGGGTTATAGCCATTGAAAAGCATGAATTTTGTGGAAAGAAGCCTACTAGACATTGGATGGAAATGACTGAAAATGAGACAATAACTTACTTCTCGTTGAATGAAAATTTTAAAGTACACTTATTAATTGCCATTAGGGTGAAACATATAAAAGTGAACTAAAATTAAGGGTTATTTTGAAAAAAGAAGCTTAATTGTCATTGGCTCGAAAAAAAATAAAGTTAGATAAAAACCATTGCTTATAGCCTATAAGAATTTAGAATATTGAAGTCTATTATTTGTCACAGACTCACGGGTTAAATTACATGAAAATGAACAAAGTTGTGGGTTATATATAGATCATGAAATTCATGATTTTTGAAGACATATAACTTAATTGTCATTAGCTCTAAACAAATGAAAATGGACAAAAAACGTTGCTTATAACCTATAAAACTTGTGGATGTTGAAGTAAGCCAATCATTTGCCATTGGGTGAAATTAGATAAAAATGAACAAAATTGTGGGTTATATAGTCCATGAAAATCATAAGTTCGGAGGGGGGGGGGCGGGGTTAATTGTCAGCTAGGGTCAAAACAGCGTAAAACGGACATTAAAATACGAAATTATGCGCGCAATGAAAATTTAGAATGTTAAGTAAGCCAATTATGTTGTCAATTTGGTGAATTAGTGAAAATAAACAAATTGGGGTTATAGCCCGGCATGAAATCGTGAGTTTCGGGGGGGGGGGGGGGGGTTAAATTGTGACTAGGTCAAAAGAACTTAAAATGGATAGAAATCGTGAATTATAGCCCATGAAAATTGCTAATATTGCAATGGAACATATCTTTCATCCGTTACCATCTGATTTGTAACCTACAAAAATTTTAGAACATGATTTAATGTGACCATGAGTCGAATGGCATCACAGTTTTTCATACAAACTAGAGCTTTCAGGGTTAAACAAGTTATAGTCAACAAGAGAAGAACATATAAGAAGGAAAATCTTTTCCTTAGATTGGGGTAGATTTTAAGTTTGAATATTGTATCAAGATTTTAGATTCGGTAATCTCTTAAAAATCCTCAAGATTCCTTGCGTTATCAAATAAACTCTTGCAAAACTGATCATCAACCTCTTGACTTTGCCGGGTTCTTTCAGGTCCATCTCCACCATGCTCTTAATGTTGTTAATAAATGGCTGAAAGCCCTTGTACATTTACAAAATACTTGATAGGGAAGCAGAAAATGCTGGTTCAAACCTTTTATTATTATTATTATTTATTTTTATGCAACTGCTATAATTTTATTATATTGGTTTTGGCTAGCCTAATGCAGAGAAAGGATAAAAGTTCAAGTTTACCTCTTCATATGCTCTAAATGCATTTTCACCATCACCGTCTTCTTTCTCTGACATGGATATTGAAGCCCTGTTGTGTACACCATCGTTCAGCTCCTCATACGTTCATGTGCACTTGCTGAAGGATTCTAGGTAGACTTAGGTTGAGTAAGAATGGATATTTAAATCAAGGAAAGTACTGAAGGAATTTAGCTTCTATCAACAAGAATATGGGTGTGCTTTTTAAGGTTAGGGAAGGGAATAATGACTTCAGGGTCTCTAATTGTATAGGTGGGGAGCAAACTTGTTGGTTTAGCTGTACTAGTTATTCCTGTTTGTCACTCGTTTAAATAATCTTTGTTTGATGTGTCAGAAAAAAGGAAATCTTATTTACTTTTAGGGGAGAGAAGATAAAATCATTTTAGAAAACCGAATAAGAGATGCAGTCATTGTAAGTTATTAATCATTGTAAATTAGCTCATTAGAACCTTGAAAAAGAGGATATTCTAGCCAAAACATGGCTGCATCACATCAGCTGACATTGCTTGAGTATCTAGTCATCAGACTGCAAACTAGTGCACTATTTAATGTTACATGTATGAGATTAACGTTTTAAACGTAATATAGGTGTTGAGAAACATTTGTCTTAGATTGTTTTGATTGGAATTGCAGCAAAGAGAAAAACGTGTATATGAAAGGAAAAAGATGATGTAAACTTGTATTCTTATATGCAGTAAAATTATTTAGTTTCTTGGTGATCATTCGGGAATCTTGATAAAGAGGATGTTGTTTCCTTGTGTGTAGAAGTAGAGAATTGTTCATGTACATAAATAAACATTTTAACTACCTTTGAGCGGATATGTAAGAGTTTGATCTCAACCTTGTACGTCGCAGGCCTCTGGATCTTGATTTTAGGATTCACAGCATCCATCAGACTGGATATTTGAAATTTTACAAATTTGGAGGCTTAAGCAGGGAGTCGGAACTTCCAGAACCTTGAGGATGTCCACTTTGTGTTATTTTCTATTAGACCATCAGCTTGAAAAATCTCCTAAGACGAACTTAAGATGAACTCTGGAAAATTTGCTATTCAGTAAAGTGAATTTTTCATATTGCTGGATTGTAATTTTATATTCTAGATTCTTTGTGGTATAGTTCCATCAATGTCTTAGTTACTGTGCTGGGGAACTAAAACAAATTAAGTCACCCCAGCTTGTCAATGTGAAGGTTGGTTGGAGTGGCAAGGATTAACGGGTCCAGTTCAAGCAAGTGAAGGTTGACCTTTGAGGATGACATTAGCTGGATTCTGTTAATAGAAACCAGAGAATGGTCAACTTTTTTTATTTTCTCCTTTCAAGCCTCTTAATGCGCATGTTCAACACCACAAATATGTGTATGTTATCCGCCTTGTCTGCTGGTAAATAACATGGGAGAAAGTTTCTTTGTAGGATGGGAGTGGGAGTCAAACTGACACCCTCTACCTGAGTAGTGATATTTCCTAGTGATCTTCCCATCTTAGCAATTAAGGTCAAGTTTGCTTGTTAGGTGTTTCAGATAACTAAGGAAGCTGAAATAGGTAGAACGAGGATGGGAGGGGGAGGGGTACGCAAAAACCTCCTTTAATTTAAATCAAAAGGAGGCAAATAAAATTTTAATATGCATGTGTGTTATTTGTTTTTAGGAGGATAAAAAAGGCTTATGCCTTTGGAAGAAGCGGATGCATGTCTTGCTGTAACATTCTGGATTCTGAACGGTGCTCGAGTTGACAGGGGAAATAACCTCAAAAGTCGCATGTGGTATCACAGTATTTAAGTCTGAATCTTTGGAAGCATTATTTCATTAAGGCCTTCCTAATGTATTTCTGTGGCTTCACAAATCCCGAACTTGTCTAACGAGGTCTCTCTTTTATCTTGCCAACTCTTGTGTTATCATATACGAGATGCTCCTTCAACTTTGGAGTGATAATAGATTTATAACTTCATGTTGATATAGGCAGTACTATCAACACCCCACCCTCAATAACTGATAAAAAAGAATTAACTTCCATTAAGAATTTTTTCCCTTAGCGGAAGCCTGAAAATCTCATCATTTTCTGATGTCTGATAGTTGACCCCTGTTTGAACACGCCGTCTCAATGCTTGTGTAGAAGTGATATATATTGTGTTGTTATTGCTTTTTTTTCCTGGTAGGATGCATGTTCTCTGCAAGGAATCTCAAAATCTGATCGTTTGCCTATGATAACTTTCCCGTTTTACCTTCTGAATACTTGCCATAAAAATGATATTTACGCATAAAAAAATATCCAACAGATAATGTATCTCAGTGTGGGGGTAACGCATTGAGATACAGAATTAACTGTAAGTTCTGTATATTATCATGTAAGCCTTTCCCTGTCATAATGTTTTGTTAATGGAGCATGATTCTTTGCTGGAAACAGGTAATGGCGGCTATGAAATCTCGAGGAGGAGAGAACGCTGTGTTCCATACTCTTCAGCGTGCTCGCGAGCTCTACAGGAACAAAATCCATGAGAACGCTGCAGCAGACGAGCTGGCCTCCTTGTTTGCAGAGTGTGCTATTGCCGAAGCTCAGCAGCCTTCAAACCCTAACAATCCACTAGTACCGCAGCCACCTCATCCTCCTGATGAGCTGCTGGATGCTGCTGCTAATGATTCTTCCATACTCGCTATGAGCGGCAGGAAGCAGATCATGTTGGATGCCTTTGCAGATGGAAGCAGTTTCATTTGTTTGAATTGTGGAGGTATTGTTAGTAATTTTCGGAAGGACGAGCATTTGGCTTACTGGTGTGGGAAGCATTGATGTCCTTGTGTTGGGGTGGGGGGTGGAGAGAGAAAATACAAC